CACTTGTTTATGAACATAGATATACTATTACAAGGTCTGCAAAGCATATATGCTGCTCGCCGCAACGAATAAGGGTTACATCATTACAGCTGCTACTTTGTAGTCTAACACTACACTGGGAGGAAACAGAACTGTCTGTCAAGGTTGGGCATACGACGGTTGTGTAGAGGAACATCTATTGTTCAAACTCTTCAAACACTGCTTTCAGAGCAATAGATTCCATGTGACTTTTATATCGATTAAGCTTACTTTTTTGAATACATCATTTAAGTCATTTAATACATCAACAACACTCATTGACGCAGAACTTTTAAGAAAATGCAAAAGTGCTCGAAGGCGAGGGGAATCGAACCTGTATAGATTAACTTGACAAACAGCACACTTACCTCTCTATCACTGCCACAGTCGTGATGAATCACAGTTCGCTAAGAAAGAGATGGTCACCCGGAATTTTCAAAGGCTCATAACTTCTTCTTAAAAACTGCTTCGCATATATAGAAGAGAGACTTTGAATCCCGGGCCCAGACTCCATCTAGCAGTATACATTTGAGTTGTCACTTGGACTGATATCGTTCCTTTGTTAGTGACTTTCTTACAAAGAATAACTAGATTGCAGACCCTTCTCAGTAAGTTGCGTTGACCTTAATATAAGGAATCCACATGTTTATCACGCCGAATAAGTTCACTACGTATACAGCGAGTTCTGAGAACATGTCTGCCTATATAATCACCGTGTTCCACAGTAAGAATATATTGTGCTGTATGGATATGTTATTCGGATCCAATGTTTTAAAACCTTTCTCTTTTCTATCGCGGTCACATCTATTTATGTATAGTCAAAATTGGGTGAAAGCAGCATGTCCTCGCTGTGTTATCTCCAAATTTGCTAGATAGATCAACACTTACATGTAAATCCAGCTGTCGAAGCTTACGAGTACCGTGGCTGATAGTACCGCATGCATTTTATGGTAAATCTGGGTCCACTTTCCAGGAGGTAATTCGGCATGCTGATCACAAAAACCACATCTATTCCGCTCAAGGACATACTGTATTACGGTAGCCCTATGGTAAAGATTATCGAGGTTTGCCGAAAGTACCGCCTATTTCTCGTCCTGTTCGTTAAATATGAGAAAGCGTTTGACATCGTCGAGACTAATGCCATACTATCAGCGCTCGTCGACCAAGGGGTATCCCCATCTTACGTAGGGACATTGGCCGACTGCTACAGCAACTGCTCTACAACGGTACAGCTTTTCCATGGTCCCCTTAACATGCCAATTTCGAAGGGAGTTCGACAAGGGGACACAATAATGCCAAAGCTGTTCAACGCGTTGCAGTGGGTGATGAAATCACTGAGTTGAAACGAGAGAAGTATAAGAGTCGATGGGAGATTCCTCTCCAACCTTCGTTTTGGGGACATTGTTCTCTTCTCGAAGAATATCACTGAAGAGACGTTGATGAAGGAACTAAATGAAGTAGGGAAGCGAATAGGACTGTGAATCAACCGCGAATACTCAGTTCCTGAAGAACGCCTCTTGCGAGCATCAGGAAATGGAATTAGAGGGCTCTCGAATTGCGGAGACGTTTTCTTACGTGTATCTCGGACGTTCTATGAACATGG